TATATATATATTATATTTTCCTCAGTAGCTTGAAATATTATTGCTTTATGAAGACTGAGTAAATGATCATATATTTATATTCATTTAAATTTAATAATTAAGATATTATTATTTTTATACAAGTTTATTTTATGACTTTATAAAAATCCGGATATACAAGAAAATTTGGATTCCTTCTATAATAATTAGGCCTTCTCGACCACACTCACTCCAACTTGATCTATAGACACCTTCATTCAAAATTTATTTGAAATTAATCATCATAAAAAAAAGGTTCAAACATATTTATTAAATTTAATTAACAAGTTTAACATACTTTTTCGAGTTAATTTGATAAAAAATCATGAGTCATTCTTAAATATAGTAGTGTGGTTATTTCTCATAGACCTTATGTATAAATTTGTTAATAAACATTTGAATAGATTTATGCATAACATGTTTTTAAAATAAATAAAATGTAGTTATGTATATTTAATTATTTGTTTTGTACATATATTTAATTTAATATCCAATTATGGACAGCTTTATCACTTACAATGCTGACCCTTTTCCTGCCCATAAGAAAAGCCTAGCCCTAGCCCAATAAATTCTTTGAAGCCCAAAAAGAGCCTATCAACTCTTAAATGAATTAAATATACTATATAATATGAAAGATAACTTGAACCAACAATTATGGGTGAAATGTATTAGGAAATTAAAATGATCGTGTTTTACAAATGGGGTGTTGGATATTTATAGGCTAATAGTCTATTTAGATAGAATTATAAAATAAAAATAATATTGAGGGATTTAATTAGAATTAATAATATTCAAATTAAATTTTAATTTTAATTTAATGTAATTAATACTTAAATTTAGATATACATAATTAAATTTAAAAGTTCAAATTAAACTACACTTCTTTATTTGGCTTTTTTAATGATTTTGACTATATGAGTTGCCTTGCCTACTTAAGTTACTGTTTGTTAGATTGTCTAGTTTAATCTAAAATCTTGTATAATCACATAATAGACATTCACACAAATATTTACTTATATTACTATATAATTCATCTAAATCTAAAAGCATATCTTAACAGGAGCCTGCTTCTACTTTGGGTCTGGACAAATCTTTGATTTGGCGTGGTTTGTTTTTATTTTCATTTTTTTAACTTTTGTTTAAGTTTTTGGCTCGCTAATCAAATTGCTAAGTTCTGCAGTAACGCATAGGTGATGACATGATAATCACTTAATTACAATAAATTAGATAAATATATTTATATTACTTTGATTGATTGTGATTTTAGTAAGTAATCATGTAACCTAGGACATTAAATCCACGGGTTAATCCAACCACGTGAATAATTTTTCCAAATTAAAAAGTTAACAGGATTGATAGTTCGATCAGTGATTGATTTAACTATTTGATTAAGTGTTGAATTGGTGAAGTTATATATATATATATATATATATATATATATATATAAATAGTTCAAGTCCAAATCTATTTGCCTTATAATTTCAGTATTTCATACTGAAGACTAAGTTTCATTAATCCAATCAAATGCATATTTTGGTCGTCCTAAATTCATTTCCAATTGCTCTGTTTCCATCTTCACTCTCTCTTTCTCTTGGAAGCAGTCGTAGCAATGTACATATCAGATGGATAGACACGACTGTCATGAATCAAAGAACCCAGAAAAACCAAAGAAGTTTCAAAAGACTGGAAACATAATACGTTGAAAGAAAACTAGAAAAACAGATTAAAAACACCAATTAACATCATGCTAATAGCGTTTTTAACGGATGTTTTTATCGAAAACGCCATTAAACACAGCCTAAATATCACCTTTTGATAGGCTATACGCTTAAAATATATACTTGTACTAATTAATTGTCCTTTTTGTGGTAGGAGAAGCTAATGTATCTAATTGGACAGACACCAGGCTCGACCACCCAACTGCATGCGAGAAACTGCTAGGAGTCTGCTAACCATATATTCAAAGTGAAAAAGTCTTCTGTCGATGGGTTCACATCAGATTAAGAGTCAGTTCAACAATTACTCGTGTCCATATGTGCAGGATTTCTAACTCCGATCACCTAACATACAAATTTTATGTATAAATTATGTACGCACATGCTAGCATTTGCTGAGACTAGTTGACTATTTTGACACTTCTCAGACCGTTAGGTTCTGTATTATATTGCAGAATTTGAGACCAAAAGAGTAAGCCACCTTCTTTGTTTTTGATCTTGACTTGAAAAACTTGCCGTGAAGGTACTTTCGTTGTAACTCCTTTGATTATTCAATGTTAAGTAATCTATGAGTAAACTATTGCCCTAAGTAATTTTCATTTCGGGGTTCAATGTTCGGATCAAAGAAAAAACCCTTGCCCGTAAACAATGTTGGTTTTAATTGTTTTGCTTTTGTTTCTTTTTTAAAAAACTTGATTGTCTTTTTTTACATGTTTGACTATTTCTTGATAACATTCTTTGATCATAATAACGGATCTAAACTTTTACAAGAGAGATAATTAAAAGATTATATTATTTTATAATAGATTGTTTGATTTAATTAAGAATGACAAAATTATATATATTAAAGTTTATACAAATTATAATAAAAAAAATTAAAAACTGAAATATGACAACTTCATTCGCTTTTACTTGATAATGTCATGTTAATATGCTAAATCAATAAGAAAGCAGTTCATAAATACCGAATAGTCGACCAAATTTTCAGTACAAAATCTTGGTTTGTTGAAATTTCTGCTGCCATCTTTTTTTCCAAAATGAATTGCTGGCTTTATGAGTTTTGCTTTCAAATGCAGCTATTAGCTCTTATGTTTGAAAATGCAATGAACAATTGCTACAGCCAATTCCGGGGTCAATGAAATGTACTGATGGCCCCCCCAAGCCTCTTCTAGAAACAGCATTTGTCCTTTTCCTATTTAGATCCGAATTCTTCCAAAACTTGTCCCTTTAATTTAAAAAAAAAAATGATAATACTATGTACTAATATAAGCTCAACGATTGACTTGCAAGCAAACATGGGTAGAAAAAGGGTTAACAACTGGTTCCGACATCTCTCTTTTCTTGACTGTGACAGTAAAAAGCTTCTATTCATAAATAAATTATATATTATTAAAAGAAGCAAAAATTCTCTTGTCATGAAAATTATTATATAAATCCTTTGTCTTTTTGGATAACTATGACTGAGGAGAATCGATATAGATACCATAAAGCCTGTTGATTATCATGTTCATTGTAATTTTAACAAATTAAGATGTAATATGTGATAAAAAAAAGTTTCATGTCTAGATTAATTAATAAAATATATGACATTTTCATCTTGATCTGGTAGTAATTTATAATATTGGAAGATTAATTATACCATATGCTATTAACTTTATGTCCAAGATGCAGTGTGAAAGAATTGGCATACCATGCATGACTTTTCTCTTGAAATTGTAAGTCGCAATTTCGTACACTTTCAATGTTCAAATTTAGCCATTTTTGAAGACTCACATCCAAAATGAATACTTGTTTTTTTTTTTGTTAATTTATATTTTTGGTACGGCCTCAAATTTTCTTAATTCTATATAAGTTTCAAAACACATATATAGTTCTCATTCAGAAAATTTAATATGTATATATGTAGTGATATCTAGCTAGCTAATTAAGTGTATGAAAAAGGATATAAACCCTTTTACCAAATAAAGGGAAACATATATTATGGAGTGAATGATGAGCATTTCCGCGTTAATTAAAAAGCTTAGTATGCGGTAAAGATAAGTGGGTCCTTTCCAAAGGATGGAATTGTAAATGATTTTACGCGTTAATCCCCTTTAGAAATTAATTAAGCAACTTTTGTTCATAGTTTGCTTTCCAACTTTAGGGAAGTGTTTAATAAATCGAAGGCCAAAACACAGCCTGCAATCGATTATCAGCCGCACGAGATGCAGTAAGAACCCACCCACGGATTAATGGCTGGTGATCATGATTTGTATCGGTTAGGGTGAGAAAGCAAGCAGGTGAAGTTCCAAAGGCTGCGCTCTCCCCGAGCACACGCCAGATGTTGCTTGCGAAATTCCACGGCCGAATCTTAAAAGCAGTAAGGGTTAGAGGATGCCAACAAACGGAAAAAGGTTACTACAAGACAATGCAAACCAAAAGTTTTGCCGGCATCTTAATGATTACATTCTATATACTTTATTTTAAGAGTGTTTTACGGAAAATTTATTAATATAGATTTGTATTAAAAAAATCAATTTTAATCATTATCTTTTATAATATAATACAGAATTAAAATCTTTAATAAATTGCATGTATGAAAATTTGTAAATTTTATAACTTATAATTTTATTTAAATTGATGATCAAAATTAATTTCGTCTTATGAAAATGTCAATAAAATGAAGAGAGTAAATTATTCTTACTACATCAGTCATCGTAACTACAATTGTATCGATGAAGAAATAGTATGTTATTAATCCCAAATGCAACCATGTGCTTTGTGATCAATATATATATATTGATATAGAAAGTTTTAATGAGGTATCACTACCTAATTAATTGACACATATGTTGACATATATATATATATAAGGAAGGATCTGTATATCTAACCATGGAATTCCATGGTTCAAAATAAGTATCTTGTTGCCCATTGAAACTGATCATATGGTGTTGTTTTCCTTCATTTTTTTTTTTAGGTTAGATACTTTTGAAACATGAAAAAGGTCCATACTGACTTCAAGTTCTTTGGCTTTTCTCCTTATTAGATTTAAGTGGGGATTGCTGTTCAAATGGTCTTGTTCTACTCCAATTAAACATGGCTTTCTGTTAGCTTTTGTCCTCTACCTCATCTCATCTTTTTGAATCATTTTGATTAGGTTGACACGTACCCTTAAACTATACGCTTAAGCTAATGCCACTACAGTCAACAATATAAATCAATCTACGTCCACTACCATTGCAGTGGTTCTCTATCATTAATAGCACCAAAGTTTGTTAATATAGATTGCCTTGAATATGTTAGTTTATTATATAAAGTCATTTGAGGAAGACCCATTTGTTTATTTTCTTTTTATAAGATACGTGTAAGAAAAATGCGCTAATAAGTTAAAAGATTATCATTTTATATACTGACTATGGAGTTTATCTTGATATACACATGCATATCCGAACCATGATATTGGCTTTTAGATAACAATCGAATAAATGGGTACGTGGCTGTCATTTTTATGCAATTAGCATCCAAGGGAATGGGTAGGAGAGCTCCATAGCTATCAATTCAGAGAAGAAAAATGATCCAAGAAACAAAGCACATGATCTGAAATCATCTGGGCAGGCATTGAATCGTGACAAGATGTATAGTCTTTTATTCTAAATTGTCGTTAATTAATCATTTACGAAGGCAGAAAGTTTGTATAATGACAACAATATCTTGAATTCAAGGGGTTCGTATAGTAAAGAAGACATTCCGCCCCTTATATTTTCTTTCAATCTAAAGTTTGAGGTGAAATAATAGAACTCTTGCCCACAAAAAATAATTCTCTAAATAACTCTTGGAAATTACCAAAAGAAATATTGGCAATAAGAGTCGTAGCCTTTCAAAAGTTTAGTTCGACATAAAGGTTCCTTCAACCTATAGAATGGAACCTTTACTGCCGATAAAATTTCAAATGCCCCTTTCGCTATGCACTTTTAGAATTCCTAGAAAAACCGGTAAGCAGGGGCTCACACGCCCACAACTACCCAATTTTTCGTCCTATATAGCAATGCTATTAGCTACATGCTGGGCGGTTCACCAATAACAGAGAAAAACCAAGACTCCATCCAATGTCATATATATAATAGTAATATATCATGCATGTGGCTTTATCCTTTTGAACAAAGCTAATGACTCATTACCAGCAACAGCAACAAGATTTTAGCTATTTAAATCAAAAACAGAGAGTATAAATCCACATTCTTGGCCACGAGTCACCAACTTTTGGACCACATGGGTTTTGAAGCAATGGTCAAGTGCCCCTTTAGAGGGACCAAGTGTCCAACAAATCTGAAATATCCATCACGTGATTATTATAACTAGAAAGTGCATATAAATATGGGTAATTAAAGTAATATTTAGATTGACTCTTATAAAGGGCATTTTATTCTTAATCCTTATAGAGACTATAACTCTTTTTGATTTCGCTCACAATTAATTTGATGGTCAGAGAGATGAGTGGGAGCCATGTTTCAACTTCTCGCACAGCTTCTGTCTTGCATTTTGCGATCTAACGTGATTACAATGTTGATCTCACAGTTAGATTTCAGGAGTAATTAAATTTACTTAAGTAGGACTTTATTATAAGCGTGATTATCAAATGAATTATATCTAACTAGTAGTCTAATGACTATTGGAAGCACATGCTTTTTGTCAAAATGGTCTAACGAGATCTAATCCTACAAGTACGAGAGATCCCCCAACATGCCACCTTTGTTTCCTTTTGGATTCATCCTTACCTTTGTTGCAAATCGAACGGGCATAAAATGACAAAATGACTAGTCATGCCAAGAAGAGCTATTGTCATAATATTTGTAGTACATGGGGCACTGTTGGTTTCATTGGATTAGCTTTGACTTTTCTGAAACCCCCCATCTTGTTTTAGAAAAGGTTTCGAGAAAAGAACAGGAGAAGGAGCTACAACCCACCTTTTTAGTCAAAAGAAACAAGATATGTTTCCCCTTGCTAGCATGGAAAATAATGGCATGTTGGGTAAAGAATGAAGAATTTCTGCCTTCTTCCTCTCCCTCCAAAAAAAAAAAACCAGTTACCGACAAATGAAAAGTGTGGTGTATACCTTGCTTAGCATCAGTTCACGGGGAAGCACATGATTTGAATTATACTTCCGAAAACGCGTTATAAGGAGGGGGTGGGGGGGAGACAAAGCACCCAACCCATCATTAATTTTTTGAACAAAAGCTAATCCAAAGATCAACATTACCACGTGTGCTGCTGCTTCTTTTACACAGGAGATTGCATAATCCAATTCAAAGGGTCCATTTTTCTACATTAACAAAATGTTAAAAGGAGATTAAAGACATCTAATCATGATTAAAACGCGCCTATTTTAATTGATAATCATTTTTATACGGTACGGTTTTAGAATATGTACTGCCAGTACTTACATCTTGTGGACCCGCTCTGTTTAGCTCAAGATAACAACCTTATTACTAGGGAAGATGCCAAAACTTGAGGAACTAATTTTTACTGTATCGCGGACTAAAGCATATGTTGCCTAGCTAGTTGTAATTACCACACTATCCATCATATCCTAGAGGTTTCCATCTTTGTTAATAATATTATACTCTATAAATATAATTATTATAATAATATTTGACTTTTGTGAACCTACTACTCCCAGAATTTTCTTTTTTATTCAAAAACAAAGTCTTCAATGGAAATTTTAATCCGCCCTTTAGATACACTTTTTACAATTAAATAGATCTTGAGACTGGAAGTTGTAATTTTACGAAATATGATGAGATTATCATATATTATTTTATTCTGTTTTAGGGTTTAAAGAAAGGAAAATTGCATTTCTCTTCATCTCACGATCATTTGTCTTTTGAACACGATAAATTAAAAAAATACATATAATAATTGAAAATATCAGAGGAATGGAACATGTATGTATGGAAGAGCATCACGACATGTGGATCATGATGTCATTTCCCATTTACAGGAAAAGGACTTGTCGATATAGAGCTTATACATGTAAGTTATGACGCATCCAGTGAAGGGATGCAGGAAGAGGAGTGGGTAGTGCAGAATGCAATTAAACAAAATTGTGGTGCTGAAGCTGAGATGGACTCTTCAATGTTGTTCCTTTTCGAAAGGTCAAATTGTCATCCAACTTAGTCAAACTTAGGAAAATAATAGACTTGGAAAAGACACATGGTATGGAAAATGACTATACGGGGTTCTCTATTGAATATTAATCAATTTGCTCATCGTCTTAGAAAAGGATTAGTCTTGCCAATGGCCATATCATGACCCTGATGATATTAGAAATATGCACCAATGATTTAGAAGCATATTTAATCTCGAATATCCATGGATCTAAATAAATAAAACTATTAAAGTGAATATAAATTAACATAAATTTAACTTGTATCAATTTATTAAAAAATCTTTTTGCTTTCATATAAAGTATTATCTTAAATAGTAGAAAGAATCTCACATAATTTAATGAAGTTTTTGAAAATACTGATAAAGGATTGATATCAACAGAGAGTTGTTTTGGGAGTGTCTTAGCAAAATCGATAAACAAGTAGTTGCTAGCTCGGCTGTTTAATCAGTTCCTTAATATTGCAATAAGATTAGTGCTCATAGATGGCAAGCGTAGTGGAGAGCAAAGGAAAGAGATGGTCAAAAGCTAGTTTGACAAGGAAATAATTGAAGCATCAATCTTAAGTAATCATAGTAGGTGACCTAAAAGTTGTTACAATTTCAATAATCAGCACAGGAATTATAAACTTAGGAAAATAAAGTACATATTTCTCTTTCTCTCCAAACATGGCAAGTTACATGGAGGAAAAAGACCTATCTACTTCGTCTAGCTTTAACAAAGAGATTAGATCCTACGTGACATTTCCCCCATATATCTTTTGTTCACATTATATCCTATTGCTAAGTTAAATTTATTAATCTAATGTAGTCCTTCAACTTCTCCTTCTTTGGAGCCATTGGCTTAGAGTTAGGAGAGTTTCATGGGACCTTTCTCAAAGCTGCTATGCGATCTAAGCATTAATCATGTCCAAAGAGGCTCCCATATTGACCCTAAGTTGTTATTGTCTTCCAGGAAGCCTGGGTTGCTCTGGTAGCTTTGAGGGCTGCTGGTGAAAGTGTCGACGGATTGGTGGGAATTTGGTTGAGGAGACTGTGCCATCTCCATGCAAAGTAAAGCCACAAGGTTTGCTTGCTGCAACTGCATGTTGACTACTTCAGCTTGAGCTTTGGCTAATTGTGCTTGGAGCTCATTGACTTGCTTTTGCAGCTGGCAAATTGCCCCTGCACACCCATAAACCGGGTCTCGGATCCTTGCACTAGCCTCATAAACCATGCTGCTTACCGCATCAGCCCTTTGAGACTCTGGAAGTTCCTGAAAAATTCAGAACCACCACTCATTTAATTAGCATCTAAATTATTGACTATATTGAGAAGTCTACAACTATACCTTAACAACTAATCAAATCAGTCTGTTAATCAAACCCAAAAGTAAACAAATGAATAGGGCCTTGACTATGTCTATTGATGACTATCCGGAAAGTGAAATATTATTAGTCAAGAGAACCTAATTCCAAGTTACATGAAATTTGATTTGGGAACTGTGAGCAGCACATTTTTCATGGGGTATAGTCAATTTCCTCATTCCATATATATGGAAAATGCAATGTGTAGGAGAAGTTAGTACGTATATATTTCTTGATATAGTCAGAGATAACTTTCAAAAGAAAAGAGAAAGAGATAGAGTCAGAGAGGTATTAGGAAGTGTCAACATGTTATGCAGAGAGTAGGGTCGTTTCCACATGCTGTGTCTCTGCCTATGTAAACAAACCATGTAACTTGCTTTTCAATTTGCTGTTCCGAATAAACTCAGATTTTATTAGATAGAAAGCGTGAAGCTGCGTATTATATTTAGACTTGTCATATTCTTAGCTTAGCCTGCAGCCTACGCCACTAGCCCGTCCATAAAGACTACTAAACCCGTTTTGGTTGGAGAGGATAGATTTTCCAAGTCCAACACTACTAGAACTTCTGACTTGACAACAAGCAACAATACAGAGTGATTTATCATATGGTATGAACCAAATCTTGCTTCTCTTAAACATATTTAAGTTTTAGTTTTGATGAATCCATACTTAAAGGAATATAGAGGAGGAATAAAGTTGTTAAAATGCACCCAAAAAAGAACCACTAAATGACTTTTTTCGTTAATAACTAGAGTATCTTTTTGTCACATTTGTCAACGCGTTAAAGCAAAACCCTTTTAAAACCATTTCACACTAGTGCTACAGTAGCCATTCTCTCGCTGAGAAAATCTCCTAGTACTAGAAATAACAAAAGGAATAGTGAATGTCAATTTGCAGGGGAGATCATCAAGGACCCAGAACAAATAAACTACCTGCAAGAACTTGATTATGTTGCTAGCACCAAAGACGCGATGAGCAATGGTAAACTTGGCTGGTTCAGTAGGAGGAAAATACGGTGCCAAGACACATTTATCAGCACACCTTCTCCTTAAAATCTTGCAAGCGGCACAAGGGCTAATAACAACCGGTGGAGTTGAAGTAGTAGTAGTAGTAGGAGGAGGAGGAGGAGGAGGAGACGATGAATTCGAAGAATTCGGAGAAAGAGATTGAGGAGAAGATGTAGTAGCAGTAGTAGGAGGGGGAGGAGGAGGAGTTGCTTCAGTATATTCCATCTTAAACATGAGTTTTAAGGCTTTTAGGTGCAAAGGAGAGAAATGAGGAGGAAGAGGTGGTAGGGGGGGTTAAATGTTGGGGTTTGCTTTTGCATAGAGGAGGGTATATTTATATAAGAAATGAGGCAAAACAGTGAGGTCATGTAGTATAAGACATGACATCATTAGCTCAAAATCCTTTAGGTTGCGTGGCTGGCTGGCTGCTGTGCTGTGTTTTCACCATACCCAATTTGTTTTTTCTTAGTTCCGTTAGGTTCATGATTTTACACTTTTTTTGGCTTAATTGCGTGAAAAAATAACTCTTCTAGTTTGAAACCTCTTACTCCCTAGCTTCCCTTGTCTATTTTACTCTTAAATTCTTTCCCCTTTTTCTCCACAAGAAATATCCCCCTTTGATAAATATGCGAGGAAAACTCTAAACGTGGCCATTGGACTAAGACTATCAATATGCATAATTTTTTTTTTTGAAAGCTGATTTTGTTAGTTTCTGACTACTCATATGCCATTTCGAGTCTTTTATTTATTACAATAGATAAGATCTTTCCAAAGTTTTCGTTATTATGGATCTTCTGATTTTATTTATGAAGTCATTTGTTAATTAATAACATAAAATATCCAAAAAAAAAAAGCTAATAATTTAATTGGCTTATATCATTAGCAATGTCTACCATATCATTCCTTTCACATTAACTTTGTTTTAAAAGAGAAGTTTCCAATATGTTTTCTTTCCTATTCTCCCTTTACCAGAAATTTTTTTTTTCTTTGTAAAATTCTATACCCACTGCCTAACTTTAGGAGTAAAATGGTTGTTCTAGCAAAGAAAATGTTTCTTCTAACCCTGTCTCCAACTTTCTTGGACTCAAATCATGCATTGATTTTCAAACCATATGATAGAAAAAGAAAAAAAAAAAAAGTCATACTTCGTAATCACCTATATGCTGAATCCTCATACCAATACCCCTTTCAACACGTTATTAACGTATAATTAGGGTATCCAATTCTCTTGATTATAAATGTAATTCATATTTACGCCATTATCTTTTCAATTATTATATAGAAGTTTCAAAGGTGAGAAGAGATTAAAGCGTATTATTAGAGCTAGAACGTTATCAAGTAGGATTAACATGATTTTGTAATCAAAAACAAAAGGAAGAAAAATAAATAAGCCAAATTATACTCAAGTGGTCCACAAATAACTACTTCTTGGTGTCCCAAATTCCAAAAGGCCACGTAGCTAAAGTCTTTAGATTAAATCAGTTGAGACCGGTTTCCTTTGGCGCCAGTTATTGGGGTTGCTGCCCCCTACATCAGACAATGCCATCTTTCTAACCCTTTAACAACCACCCAATGACCTGCCCACTTTATGAGAACGACACTAGATTTTTCTTCTTTTAACAAGAAAAAAAAAAAAAATTTCACGTAAATCCAATACATATGGGCCAACTAAATACAATCTTGCAATAATAAGTATACTTAAATGCACGTGAGGGAAAAAATACACCAAGGCAGCTAGAAGAAAAAAGGAGCAAAAGTTGGTAAAAGCCGGTTGGCTCGATGTGCACATGAAGATAGAAATAAAGAAAATTTTGGATAACAAGTCTCAGGCTGTCATGGCACCTCAAATATTTAATTTATTAATGATGCATAAGTAGAATTCAAATTTCCTTTCTCTAATTAAAAAAAAAGTATTGATTAAGCTGCCATTAAGGATTGTGACATCCCTAAACCTTTTACTATGAAAAAAAAGGAAGAAAACCCTTTTAATGGTTATTGAAAAATCGAAATCATTGATTACTTTATAATTTAAGTTGTAATCCTAAGTGACCAAAAATTTCCACCTCATGGAAAGCAAAAAGGGGAAGAAAAAAAATGTTAAGGAAGCTTTCAACTTTGCGGTGGAGAAGTAGTTAGACTAACGCAAATATTCTTGGCAATTCCACCTCCACTCCCACTAGTGTCCCAAAAGAGTCTTTTGCGTGTGGACCTTTAAGGCCAACAAAGAAAATACACCCAAGCCAGCTTTGCTTTTGGTTTTACAAGTTTGGGAACAAATTAAGTCATTTCTTTTAATAAATAGTGTTCTAATTGGTAAGTAGCTTGGCAATGTAAAGTGTAAACACAAACAGCTTCTATATCCATGTATATCCCGCCCAAATGCGACAAAGATATTTTGATAAACCAAAGGCAAAATTGCATTAAATTAACCATTGCTTTGTGGGATCTGATCATCTTGTCTCTACATATATACTTGGTTGGGTTTGAGATTATGTTCGTGCTCTTTTAAATATATTTTTTTTGGGGGGCTCTTTCATTGTGTTTTCATTTTTGTTGTTTTAGATCAATTTCATCATATGTCGTTTTTATGGTTTTATTTTTTTAAGCTAATCCTAAATTTTGAAAGTAAATTGGACGGGTCGCAAATATTGTCTTTTATGATACATGTAAAACTTTGTTGGATTTAGCTATAAAAAGAGAGTAATACTCTTCTCATCCCATATATATATTTTTTCCAAAATTAAAATATATACGAAATCTTCGAATTAAAAAGTTTAAACTCTAATTATATTAGAATGTATTCTTGCGATAGGTATAACGGGTTTCCAATTATTATTATGATGGTTTATTTATTTATTTTGTTTTCATTACAAAATTTGATACTTTTGACATATAGCTTCCACCTTTTCCTTTAACATTTTGGCACAATGGGGGGTGAGTGCCCTCACGAGACACACCTTCCTCCCTTTCCCAACTTGTTTCTCGTGGCAATCCTCTTTCTCTTCAAAAATCCAAGAATCTGAGTTTAGTGAACACCTAAACTTGAGGTAGTATATATTCACTTAATCAATCTTTCCTTAATTCTTATTTGCTTTTTTTAAAAAAAAACAATGTTACTAGGCCAAAATATACGACCTTTTCATAATCAATTCAATCATTTTGCACAAGAAAAACTTGATAAAAATCAGTTAATATGACAAAAATAGGATCCAGGCAACAGAAGATTAGTCAAGTTTCAGTTGCCTTTCCTAGATATATATCATTTGAAGTTGAGCGGTGGCTGCTAAGTTGAAACGTCGTAATCAGAGTAGAATGGTCCTGCGGCTATGATAATTATCTTCCTCTCCGAACAAAGTGCTCTGAAGTTATACGGCATTGGTACTTTCTCATCGCATCCATTGGGTTCATGCATGATTAGAAGGCAGCTTTCCACCATTAATAATTGCAAAACAATGCTGCTGCAGCAGCAGGCCAGGAGCAGCCTTGATCAAACGGTCAGGGTAAGGATGCGCGTGGCTCTGAAGGGGTGCCCTGATTCTCAAGCAAAGTAGTTCTTCTGTAATTACTGCAACTAAGACCATGACCAGGACACAACGTTATTCTTTTATTTTAGACTTGACCAGCAGCTTTCAAACCCTTTTCACATTGATGACAAACCTAAGTTTTGTGAACCAAATAAATGTGCATGGATCTCGTGATGACCAACAAAAACTAGTGGAGGCTGAACTAAAAAGCTGAAGAATTTAAGAATATTCAGAAGAAATTAATGGTAATAAGTCTTCCCACATGACTGCAAAGTTGTCAAGGTTTGCAGGAGAGCTTTCGTTTATCTCAACTCCGTATAGACTTCAATTTGCTTTAGGGTGTTCATCCAGCTTACGGAGCAAATGGAGGCCCACACGGTTTTAGGGCAGCAGGTCTTTGGTTACAACCAGTTTTCCCACTCAGACCGCTAGCAATCACCGAAATCAACACTAACTACAGCTAAATGCAACCTCTCAACTCTCAAGAGTCCTCAAAATTCTTGCCCTTGTTTTTTCAATTTCTATGACTTAAGGACTTCCAATGAGTACATCAGTTGAAGACTGAAAGCCAGATCGGTCCATGGCGTCAGCCTCATGACATGTCTAAAGTCTTACACTAAACATAGATTATTGGTTGTTTCATTGTAAAATAATGGAACAATACTTTGAATTACTCGTCGGACACTGTAAGGCTAAGTGGATAGAGAACAAATGGTGGTCTAGAAGTAGGAACAGTTCTTCCACTAATTAAACTTTGAAAATGTTGGCGAATAAAGAACACGACTTGAATCTCTTTCATGCCTTCAGTCTAAAAGAGGGGCAGGTTTCCTAAATCCTATAAAAATCAATTGAAGAATCAAGTGCAACCAATGAGGCTTGCTGGATTGATGGAGCTAGCTAGTTGCTATAGGTTTACTATTGTGAATTAGAAGGCTGCTGCATACACCAAAGAAAAGCAAAACATCTTACACAGGTATAGGCCAGTAACAAGTCAAGATCATGCAGAAACTAATAAGTTAAAATTTTTGGTTTGGGAAATGGTCTAGCTTTATGCATCAAGTCTTTGTTTTGGTGATTTCTCCAATAGAAGTATGAGAACATGAACTTTTATATGAAGTGCATGAAGGAGTTTCATGTGGGAAGCATGGATATGTAATTGTAAAGCACACTCCTCGATTGAGTAGATGTGAACGTTGAATGGGGAATCAGATTTATGGAATTTGGAGGGTAGGAACACGAGCATAAAAGGAAACTGGTTTGGTGCGCTGTTCACACAGCCTTTAGATTAGGTGCCTTTTCCTGGTTGCTGTCATATAGTTTAGAATTCTAACCCTATGTGACGGGCATTATATTAAATTGTAGGGCTTAGACTTTTGAAACCTTATCCTTCCAAGGCCAATTTTTTACAAGGAAGGTCAGAGATTATGTCCCATAGCAGAGGACAAAAATCAACCTACTTATGACCTTAACTGCCTTCAAATTCTGAAAATGACTTCCAATTACCCTAAAATTGGATTTGCTTACTCCTTCCGCCTGGTGCCATTCCTGTCATAGGATAATAATTGGACATGAGTTAGCTTCAATATGAAGCTTTATTTACTCTGCTTATCCCTGAATCTTGTTTGCATGAAACTCTTTTCTACTTTTAGCTGTAAAAATTTACCAAGGACCTGGACTATTGGTTTGACCCATAATCCAAGACATATATATTCAGTCAGGAAAGGTTGATCAAGCCCCACAAATTAACTTCCATTAACATTTAAACCAAAATTAATTTTGGTGTGAAGTCAGGGTTGATGAGGAGCACAGCAGAGATTAAACTCCATAAAATTCAACATTTTTCTAGATCCTTGCTAGGCTGCTGGAGGCATGCAATCAAGAACAAAATTTTTCTTTTCAAAATAAGTATGATGTTCATGGATGCTAATCACAAACTGTTCATCAGCCCAAGGTCAATTATTGTCATGTCAAGTCTCTAGAAAGTCTTGATTCCCTGGTTGAGTTAGGTTCGGCTTGACCGCTTTCTATAGAAAAACGATAGTGATGCATCTGAAACAAAAGAGTATTAACGTCGGAAAAGTCTTCCTTTAGCCATTTGTTTAGGTTGTCATAGAAAGTTCAAACTTTTCACACCGGGATTGTATTAACACTGCAACTACTTCTGTAGGCCATAGCATTGAATCGCACAACAAGCAGACATAGAGGAAAGAGTATAGAATCAATTCCTGCAAATTGAACATTGAGAACCAATCCTCCCTGCAATATACCAAGACAATTGTGCATTTAAAGAACTCCAGAGAGGGGAAATGAAACTAGAAATGATAGCTTAGAATTATTAAATATTTTTTAGCAAAAAGACCGGGATGCTACTATGTTTCACCCTTTTGTGCCTGAATTTTGGACATATTTATCCTCCATAAAAATCCAGAGAGATATATCCTGCATTATCCTACATCTAAATTGTGATACATGGTCATTTAGAACAAGAAACAATAAAGCACTCTTGTCAAACTTGTAGGGGTAAAAGCAAGCACATTCTTCATGTATAGTGAAGGAAGGACTCCCTCAGGAAATAATCATGCAAGGATTTCTTTTATAAAAATTTCAGCATAGGTAGAAGGTCTTCGAAAACATTTGATATCTATTGCTAAAATTTCCTATTTATTTGGTAACAGCAAGTCTGTCAAACTTCAAAAGCAAATGACTGAACATGGGGGAGAAAAGAAATAGATGAATAAAACATGAAATCAGAAGCTATTCTTATCCAGAAAAAGGAATTAGAAGTTATTTTCTCAGCAAGGACTCCAATACCATTGTCTTGAACAAAGTAATTTGCTGTTTATGAAGACATATGTAAATGGTACAACCACCTGACAATTGCAATATATCATGTCAGACACATATTTGATTGTTAAATTTCTTAGAGCTTAAACATTGACCACATTACATTCTCCAAAACGTTGTCACATCAGCTCATCAGCTCACACAAGAGAAGAAACAATTAAAGAGCAAGAAAGTGAAAGAAAAAAAATTTTCTGCAGCAAGGCTAATAAAAATATGTTCAAGAAACATCAACGAGGAGAAATACATAAGTTGCTTACCAGAAATACCGATCAATTCATGGACAGGAAGTGGCACATAGCAAGCTTTGGCAACCCCCCTCCCCTGCTTCTAACTCATCATCATAGAAGTCTTGAAGAGTAACCACATCAATGGTGTATGACTTGGACCTCCTTACCTCTGCACTGGTCAAGAGGAAGTGGCACATAACAACCATTCACTCTAATTGTTGGCAATCAATCTGATCAAGTGCATTACCAGAGCTCATTACCAGAGCTCGCTGTTATCATCAACTCAATCTGCCCACTAGCAACCATGTCAATTGATAGTAGCCACTGTTCATGAATCTCCAATGCTCATTCCACTGGAATGCCTTTTAGCTTGAGAAAGTGACCAATCCCAGATGTCAAAAAATTTCCAGAATCCTATCCCTTAGAAAGCCTTTGCAAAACTTTGAAGATGGAAATTGGTCAAAGCATTTAAGCCAAGTAACACATGGCTGGCTGGTGACATAACTTCTGCCTAGCAGCAATTTGAGCATTGGCAAGAGCCATTGCAAACCCAAAAATAATGGCCACAACCTTAGCAGTTCATTTTAGGATCCAAAAACACATCAGAGCCTTGGCATTGCTCAAAAAGGAAGATCAGCCTTCTTAACTGACATGTGGTGTCATGGCCTCTTTCCTGAAACTTAGATCAGGGATCAATGACTTACCAGCCATAATAAGTGCAGAAGCATGTTTTGCCAATCTCCCAACTGCTATGTGCAGAAATGTTACAGTGTGAAAAACACAACGGGTTGCCTTAAGAAAGAAAGAGCCACGTAGGAAGTCACACAGTGATATCGCTTCTGCCTAGCAGCAATTTGAGCAATGGTAAGTGTCACTGCAAATCCAAAAATCAATGCCAAGAACCTTAGCAGTTCATTTTAGGACCCAAAAACAGATCACAGCCTTGGCATTGCCCAAAAAGGAAGATCAGCTTTCTTAACTGACATGTCGTATCATGGCCTCTTACCTGAAACTTAGATCACGGTTAGTGACACTTTTTTTTTGAAAGTAGATCAGGATCAGTGACTTACCATCCACAACAAGTGCAGCAGCATATTTTGCCAATCTCCCAACTGCTATGGGCACAAATGGCACAGTGTGGGAAACACAACGATTTGCTTTAAGCAAGGAAGAGTTACATAGGAAGTCACACAGTGATATAGCTTCTGCCTAGCAGCAATTTGAGCATTGGCAAGTGCCATTGCAAATCCAAAAATCAATGCCACGACCTTAGCAGTTCATTTTAGGACCCAAAAACAGATCATAGCCTTGGCACTGCTCAAAAAGGAAGATCAGCTTTCTTAACTGAAATGTCGTGTCATGACCTGATTCCTGAAACTTAGATCAGGGATCGGTGACTTACCAGCCATAAAAAGTGCAGCAGCATATTTTCCCAATCTCCAAACTGCCATGGACACAAATGGCACCATATCAGAAACACAACGATTTGCTTTTAGCAATAAAGAGTTGCATAGGAGTCACAAGAATGGACCCCAGCCTGCTTAATGTGTTAACATCACTTACCCCCAATCCCACAGACAGAGAGAGAGAGAGACATAGAGAACCACAATACTGTGATCAGAAACTACATCTCCAAAAATTCAATTGCATCAGATAAATACTTCTTAATCCATTGAGGTTGTTTTGGGTAAACCTCAGCAGCATGGTGTCACAAGCTTTTAATCAATATACATGAGGAGCCTATGCCTATTGCAATGGCAAGAGCGCCATCTTTGTTCTTTTCCACAAACTCTCTTTGGCTGCTCAATTCTTAACTTCTTAAGGAAGGCATTGAGCTCTCTGACTTCGGCTGCAACTATGGGACCCAGAAATGTACCCCAGAAGGCTACATGTACAGTCCTATTGGCACATAAAGGTTTGTCCAGCATCTAAATAGGGTGATGGGTAGGGATAGCCAACTTCATGGATGTTTGACCTCCAACCTGACAATGATGCCATGGGGTAGTTACCAATCAATAACATGAAGAACAACTTCGACTGTAAGAAAATCATTCATAATCCACAGATTCAAGTTTCAAGATTTAAATTTATTAGAATTGCCATAGTGGCATTCTGAAACGAAGAAGGCTAAAAAGGATATTGGAGGGAACAAGTTAGCAAATATATGCCAAAAGGAAGATGATGCTTTGCAACAATGCCATTTCCAGGCAGATGCCTAACCTATATCTCACTTTAGCATTAAACTACAAATCAGAAGGCCATCTCTTATACTGGCTTTAAATACCATACATGCACAACTCAAAGTGAAGAATAGCAGAGGATCAATCAGAACAAGATCCTAAAAATCAGGATGGCTGATTACAGATTTCGCACATAAAAAGCAGTTTTGACATAGAGGCAAGACTGCATGACAATTCTATCCTGTGATTGGAATAGCCTGCTGCTCAATCTAATTAAAAATAATGGAAAACATACATAATATATTGTCCTAAAAGTTCATCCTTCTATTATCATTTTCATCACGCATGACTAATGCTCCTTGGTGTCATATAAACATGTAGCCACATATATAAGCAACAAACTTTTACGGAACAAGTATTCAAGATTCCTCATGAATATCAACTTGGGAGAATTAATCCAATTAGTCAGCACTTGAAAGTGAAAAATCCAAAACATGTTTATAAATATGACATGATAAACCAGGTTCACATACCTGCAGGAAAGAAACAGAAACAGGAAGAGGGTAACATAAACCTGAAGGAGAAAAGATTTATTGGGTAGCAACAATAGCCAAACTAAATTCTTTCACCAACAAAGTGAAGTCCTCCACCCAAAGTAAAACCCACTTTCAAGACGTCATCCTCCTCAATTTTCTTAACCTGTGCACAACCTTATCCAGAGTGGCCATATGCCTCTGAATTTTTCAAGAAGGATTCATGAAAAGCATGGCCCAAAGCCATGGATTCACCAAGGGATTTCATTTTGTGTTGTCAACATTGTTCTGAGAACAAGGGAATTTCTAAAATTAAAATTCTGGGATTTGTAACATAAATTCACAATGGTCATAATGATCTTCAGAAACCTATACTAACATAAAAAATCAAACTCAAGCAATGGTTCCTGAATTTTCTCCCTGTTTCTCTCCTCTCCCTCTTTGAACTGCTTACAGCTTACTCTTATACACTTGCCATATACAGCATGCCTACATAAATTATTAGCACATAGTTTTTTTTTTTTTTTGAGTTGCATTAGCACATAGTTATAAAATGCATAGGAATAGGAGGACAACAACAACATTATTCTTACGCAAGATCGAGAACTTCAAGACTGGGAAAAGGCAACTAAATCACCGAATGAAGGGTCACAGAATAGTGTTGCAAATGTGTGCTTGTTTAGGAACAAAGAATGCACCAACCACAGAGAAAAATGTTAGTGAGCGCGTTCGGAGTCGATATCATATACTAGTTGGAAAAACAATTGCTCGAAGGAATAACCAAACAAAGAAACAATCAACTTAGATAAAGAACTAAAAGAAGTTTTTACCTTAGTCACCACATAACCTAATGTCATTCAGAATATCTGGTCCAAAGCCTACCCAGCTGACAAGTCATAACTCATGAGCAGCCATATTTGCTTATACGAAGCGAAAACTCCAGTACCTTTTGCAAGCCAAACCAAACGCCATCCCGACCTTACTAATGGCCTGCACGCCTCCTTAATTTTACACATGAATAATAAATCCCACTTCTAGAGTACCCAAGAGTAAAAGCAGGCCTGGTAAATCAAACAGAGTAAAATGACCAATCTCATTGGCCCCGACCCAAGGCAGAAATCGTTTCTGTGCTTTCGATTTTGATTGGGGGAAAGCGATTGCAACCCAGTTCTTTGAGCGGGGATGATGAGTACATCAATCAAATGAGAATACTGTTTTTTTTTCTCTTTTTACAGGAGACTCGTACAGAAAAAAGAATAAAAAGCCATTCTACAACTGTTAAGTTGCACCTGTAGTGACTTGAGGAAGTAAATTTGCTAATTTATTACCATATTATACTCATCTTGTTGATTCCATTGATACAACGTGAGAGAACTGGGGTTATAGATACCACTGCAAAATGTCAAAACTTCATGGCGGCTGTCTTGGAGATAGCAAATCTCTCCTTGGCCCATCAATATTTGTCCAAAAATCTTTGCCAAACCATGAATTGAAGCAACCAAATTCAATTGGCAACTATTCCAAATTCACTTCTCAACTATAAACTTCCCTATGACAAATCACAAGTACACTACTATTCAATACTGTCAAGGCGAAAAGTACAAGCTTTCTCTGGACAAATGGAGCATCCTCTCAACTCTCAAACGTTTCTCTCTCATGGTAGTATGAAATCGAAAAGTCTTCTGTCTTTATTTCACGTGGTGTAAAAGGTTTAGATCGCAAATGCATAAAGGCTGATGCGTGTTTAGACATCTACACGCTAAGAGAAAGGTCCTCCTTTCATTACTTTTATTTTTCAATTCATTTTTAGTCCATCATATATTCACAGGAATGGATGCAGGATTTATGCTTAGTAAGAGCAGGCTGAAGGATATATAATTTTAACCAACTATATAGAAATAATAATGGAAGAAGGAGTCCAATCCGACCAAAAACTCTTATTAAGACAAGGTTTTGTGGGAATTTTTATTGAATTTTGGAAAATAAATTTAACATTTTTTGTTGAATAATAGTATTCTTTATAATTTAAAAAAAAAAACATAAAGCTTTGGTGAAGTCGCCCGTGCCCGAAAATGATACCGGTAAAACACTTCTCGTAAGATAGAAGAAAAAGATTCTGTTTCAACCATGTCAAAGCCGACCATGCCGACGGAACTCATAAAAGTCAGCGGTCGGCTCCTACGTTGTACATTCCTCCCATCATCCGACGTCGTTCAATAACCCAACTAGAAGAAAATCAAACCCGGATAGTTTACGGTTGATAAACAAGGACAACTCTACAACGCCATTTGACTATGCAATGCTGGTCCACGCCATAATTCGCTGCCCATTCTATGCATTTATTCTTCACGCCATCACAATTTAATTTTTCATTTTTAACCCCATTGCCGACGCTTCCCTTATCTTAATCTAATAATCTTCGTCCCCATCTCTTTGTTTTCCCAAAAACAAGAACTTAGTAAAGTATTTTGTCTGCAACTTCCAGAGAGTTTGATCGATAATCGAGGAGAAATGGTTCAAATCAAGGAATTGTATCCTTTTTTCTAACATGGGTTTTCTTTTATATTTTTCTGGGTATTTTTATTTTTAAAGTTTTGGTTTTTTTCGTTTTCCCTTAACTGTTGATTTTGTTCTATGTGGGAATAACTTGAAGTCGAATTGTCATGCCAATGTCCTTAGAAGAGGTAAACTTGAGCTAAAAAGTTTCAAATTTTTTGATTCCAATAAGACATGGAAATCTGGTGGTTTGTTGCTTTGTTTGCTGATCAAAGTTGTCTATGTTTGATTTGCAGTATCAGATGGCTCAAATGTACATGGTAATGAAGATGCAGCAGCAGAGTACAAATGGGGCTGAAGGTGTGGAAGTCTTGGAGAACAGACCTTTTCAAGATGATGTATTTGGAAAAGGTCAATACACTTCTAAAGTTTATCGTTTGCAGAGGTAATTCCTTACTCATTCTGGTAGACTGATTTGGGATGCTGAATTTTCCTCTTTGCACTTCAAGATGATCTATTGACTATTGTTATAATTAATTAAAGTAGTAAATATTCATCATTAGCAACGAAATATAGATTTCTTAATCGTCAGTGTCCCTATACATTGCTACTGACATCCGTAAATTATTTAAATTCCTACGGATTTATGCATAAATTATGGCCTTTTATTTGTTTACAATTCATTGGGATGGAATACTGGAATTTGTCGTTGTCTATTTGATTTCTTATTTTTGCACTAATTTCTGCAGCAAAGCACCTGCTTGGCTAACAACTATTGCACCAAAAGATGCTCTCGTCATGCAAGAGGAAGCATGGAATGCATACCCAAGATGTAAAACAGGTTTGCATTGTCCTTGTGCTCAATTTTTTCTCTTGCTCTTTGCTTGAGTTCGTTGTACAAGTTGTATTAACATTTATCTTTCTTCCGTTGGTTGCAAATGGATTTCATATTATGCAGTGATCAAGGTAACTATTTGCTTTTACTCAGACATATTTTGTGGACATTTCAGGCAAATGTTTTGATTTCTTGTGATAGTATGCTTATAGATCTTACATCTTTGCAGTGCCCTTACTTTGCCAAGTTCTGTCTCACAATTGAAACTTTCCATAAGGCAGACAATGGCACATCGGAAAATGTAAGCTTCTTTGAAAGTCACTTTAGTTGGCTTCTCTTTAAGTTTGTTCTGTTTTTTTTTTTTCATTAAGTTCCTCTCAAACACAGAATCTAATCTTGGCATTAGTAATTTGAATGGTTATAAACTGTTCATTTGATAGGAAGTTGCATTTTATCCTGTTACTCTTTCTTGTCACTCTTTCTTTTTTTTCTTTTTCTTTTTGCATCTCTTAACTCTGAGGTTTACAAACAGGTGCATTGTTTAAGTGAAGAACAACTCGCAGCTAGACAGGTAGAAACCATTGATATAGCTTCTGCTGCAACAGACTACTGGAGTTATGCTATTGGAAGTAGCACTTTTGATTTTTCCAAATTTAAATCAGCAAAAACTGGCCGCGGTCCACTTTTGGATAGATGGCAGGTTGGTACTTTTTCTGCTGCCAGTAAATAATGTAATACATACATATATAGATGAAGCTACCTAAGGCATTTCTTCATTTCCAGTTCCTTCAGTTAGGAGTGCTTTCTTGCTGTAAGCTTATGGCCATGTCATTCTCTTCAACTATCTATATTATGGCTTTTGTGTGAATTGACTGAATTTTCTTGTGATTTCTTTTAAATCTTCAACCAAATTAGTTTGTGAATGATGATGAATGATGACATGCGACATTCATATTTGCAGGACCATTGCAATCCTGTAATGACTGCATATAAATTGGTGACAGTAGATGCACCATACTGGGGTTTTGGTTATCGACTTGAACAAGCTTTGCTAGCGGTAAAACTTCTTAGACTTCAATCTTTAGATATTAACTTTAAAATATCGACTATTTGGTGAAAGCCAGGTGCCCTGTAGATACCATGAGCACTCCAGTAAAAGTAACTATAAGTAATGCATTTCACCGGAATCATAACTATAAGGGTGCATACTTATTTGGCATATAATTGTGTGAGCCTAATTTATCATTTTACTTACAAAATCATCGAAGGAAACTCAACTGTTGGAAAGAAAAGGCAGGAGACTAAGTCCTTCATATAATCTTTGGTACTTCATTAATCATGCATCATTTGCAGGAGTGGACATTGAATGAGTATCTTGTCTAGGAATAATTGAAAATTCATTGCCTGGAAAAAGCTCCATTACTTGCCACTACTCTACTAAGTTTAAGATGAAAATGAATAGGGTTGATGCTTGGTGATTTTTTAAGTGAAAAGGATGTGTAAAAGTACTGCAGATGAGTTTGCATGAGTGCTACTTTTTGATATTTCACGGTCTAACACAATTGTCAATCACAAAAGCATCTCCCTGCTGTATCTTCCATTGGGCTGTGTGGTTAAAGTTCACTGGGGCCATATGCACTTTTACATTGAAAGCACAGACCTGTTTAGCTTTGCATTTGCAGTTCAAATAATCTTTTGGGCCTCTGAACATGACATGAACGGGGCCTTAGTTTGCATGATATCCTCAACATGGACCTAAATGTGATTTCCTTATAAATGAGCATATGTAGCCATACACTTCTTACCCCCTTAAAGCTGGTAGCAACTTTACATCATATATCTCCTGTATAGGGTGAAAGGGCTCTCTTCATGGAAAGTCACCGGAATTGTTTTGGTTGGATTGATGAATGGTTTGGGATGACAATGCAACAAATACGTGAACTTGAACAGCAAGGTGATTGCTTATTAAAAGAGGTAAGACTCCTCTATCTTTTGATCCTCATTGATAGAAGTTTGATAAATAATAATAAATGAATAAGTGCGTATTTTCCATCTCTAGATTTTTGTTCTCCACAAAGCCAATTTTGGTTTTCCAAATTGAGTGTGCTATAGCATTCCTCAAACATGTGCATGCACAAGAAGTAGAAAACAGGATGAGATTGACTTCAAAGCTCATGGTCTTTGTAGTCTTATCTTATAGGTTTGTTATACTGTTGAATTAATAGTATGTGTAAAAATTCAGTGTTTGTACTGGGAAGAGATTAAAATGAATTGACAATAATAAACTGTGCAGAAATATTATCATTATGGGGTTAACAGCTTGTTTATGGCTTTCTCTATTTGTCTTAAGTTTTTTCCAACTCATGCATACATTATTTGCTGGGGCAAATTTAAACATTGCAGCATGAAGTTTTTCCACTCTTTTGTAGTGGTAGTTAAAGGCACTTTTCCATTCTTCAGATTGTGCACATTAATATGGTATAAAGCAGAGATGAAGTTCTCTTTTGAAATTGGGTCTGATGCTCGAATCCTTAATCTTGGGACTGAGCATTTTGGAATCAGGAGAAGCAAAAGGGTAGTAAGATCAATGCAAGATAATCCATACTTCTTTAGTGTAAGAATCCCAATCCCCAGCTGACCAATATATGTGGCATTTATGCAAGATGGCAGACTAAACGTCCTTAGTGTAGGAACATGTGCAAAAGAGATGATCTCTGCAATTTTCAGAGTGACCACAGAGAGAACGTGTTGTAGACTGCATAAGAGCAAATAAATTCTTGAGAGACCTTCAAATGCAATCTAAGCAAGAATGGCCTCCTTAAACGTTCTTGGTGTGTCTTTTCTCTTCATTTTTAATATCTGAACTGTGCTTCTATCCATCAGTTTAGAAAAGATTTCCTACGGAGTCTGCACGATTGTGGATAGTGTGTTGGCTGCATTAGTTTAAAATGGGACCTTAAAACAGGTTAAGAGTTTGTGATCTGCTACTCTGTAACAATTGTTGATGTGGCTAGTGAATTTGAGTCAGGCCTCGCTTGTCTTGATGTCTGCTTGATATGGAGAGTGGAAGACTCTCTTTTTAATTTTGGACATTTTAGTTTTTGATTCTCCTAATATGATTCAATTTCCACTTTCATCCGTTTGTTTCATTTTGATTGACTGGTATCCTTTTCATTAACAGAAAATCAGCAAGCCAATTTTGCTGACAAATGCAGAAGATTGTGACCAAAGGTTTTCTCATAACAGCGAAAGACACGTACAGCAAGTGGTCCATACTTGATTTCAAGCAGAATGGTGTTTCTCTGTTGAAATTCCAGGCATAAACCAAGTTGTAGTTGGATGTGCCTTACCAACTGCATAGTGACAGGATTAAAGAGCAAATACATTCATACACAAAACTGGAGCTCTTACATTGTAATGACCCCGCAATTTAAAATTGTCATTGTTTCCAAGAATTTTACATTACATTAGGTTTTAGCAGAAAATTTTTTCATCTACACTTTTTGTTCAGCATAAAGTTTTTATCATGTAATGTGAATATTATTTATCAGATACTGTTGAAAAACTTGAGAAGTCATCTGGACTCCAAGCCGCCAGTCATACGTTTCTTTTCTGCAACATACTAAATGGTGATTAGCATGACATGTACACATATACATATATGTATGTATGTATGTATGTATGTATGTATGTGTGTGTGTGTGTATGAATGTTATCATTTGGTATGTATTTGCATGTTCATATCAAATAAGTAAATCCTTTTGTTGGTAATATATAGGATTTGTTCATCCAAAAAGATAAGAATACAAGGTAAATTAGAAAACGGACTCTTTACTCTAGTCGGCCAACGGTAAAACTCCAAAACTCGATAAACCCACCAAAAGGTTAGCGAACGGTGTCGTGTCTAGCCTGCAGTGCATGAACGCTGGAGTCCCTCTCCTTCTCGCTTAGTAAGTAAGCGGTAGTCGACGTCTAAACGAAGAAGCAAAGCTTTGTATTCCTACAAAAGTATCTCTTCAATCGTACCGTATCGGCTTTTTCAACCAGCCCAAAAGGAAATAGCTTTTGATTTTTTTAATATCTTTTTAAATGTTTAGTTACTGAACTATATAAAGCTGCTTGAACCGTTTAGGAGATTCCATCTCTGAAGTTCACCAAGCGTTCGACGTTATTTCTCAGCAAGCAAAAGCAGAAGCTGATCATCTTTTTCTATCGTTTGAAGCAAGCGTCAGTGTCTCTCAAGTAAGAGCAAACTTAAAGTTGTCTGTTTTTTTCTTCCTCTTCTGTCTTTGGTATGTCATTTTGGAAGCATAGCTTTGCATGAAAATTTTTAAAATGTTTGAACATATTCTTAATTCTGCAACTAGGCCAGAAAAATAGATTAAGCCCGGACTGTATAGCAGTTAAACCTTCCATTAATGGGTTTAAACTCTGTCGCTTGTGAAATTGTATTACCAGTAATCAATGCCCTTTGGAGTTTTTGCAGCTGTTTACTTTGTAAAATTCTTCGTTTCTTGCAATTGTTTAATATAAGATGCATGAGTCTGTGACACCAAGATGGTTAGAACTTGTGTTTTTGAATTTAGAAAGGAAGAATCGAGGTTTATGGGATGCGATGTGAGAGAATCACTTTCTTTTTTAGTTCAAAGCCTTATTGGTTTACTCTTTTACCAATAATTAAAAAGAAAAAGGCTTAGGAGAGCATGAACCCTGATTATATGAGTTTTCGATCTATTGAAGGACTAAATGAAGGCTAGATGGAAAGGGAAAGGCTCAGAAGCCAAAGCTATAGCTGATCCCATGTCAAAAATAGTCTCACAGCTCCAATCCTCTTTGATCCACTCCAAGACTCATGGTTTACTCTCTAGCTGCAGTGTACTTGTTGAAGTGAATGCAGAATTGGCTGATCTTCTCAATCGTGCATGTTTTGGCCGACCAAGAATTACAGCTGAGAAGGATAAAGAATGGTTTCAGTTGGACATGGAGGAAGCCTTTTATTTGTGTTTTTCGCTCAAATGCCTCAAGGTTGTTGGTGAAGATGGTTGTATAAAGAGTAATGAAGAGCTCTGGGAGTACATGAAATCCAAAAAGGCAGTCTTTCCTGTTTTTTACAGGGCTTATTCTTATCTTCGGCATAAAAATTGGGTTGTGAGATCAGGATTGCAGTATGGTGTGGACTTTGTTGCCTACCGCCACCATCCAGCTCTTGTCCATTCTGAGTATGCAGTGCTGGTGCTATCAGAAGGAGATAATGATCTAAATGGTCGACTGAGAGTGTGGTCAGATGTTCATGGTACTGTTCGACTTTGCGGAAGCGTTGCAAAAACATTGTTGATTGTTAACGTAAATAATAATAGTCACGGTGCTATCTCTCCATCATGTTTAGAGCATTACACTGTTGAAGAGCGGACAATCACAAGGTGGAATCCAGAACAATGCCGTGAGGATCAGGCAGTCTTGAGAATCTAATGAGCTAACCTATAATTTAGAACCTTCTTTTGTGCAATACCCTGTGTTAGCATTGTTCCTTGCTCTTATAAAAGCCTTTATCCCTGCTCATAACTTCTTACCGATATAGCTTATTCTATGCAATATGAAATAATCATTTGGTCTCTGGTTGACACAGTTCCAGCTTCTGAAATCAGTTAAACTTTGGTTTCATGCCCATCAAGACCACTTGCTTTTACTTGAAGTTGGAGTATTTTGAAGTTACTTGAAATGAATATATATAATGGTGCCAAATCAAGAAAATAGTTGATGATGTAATTCACAATACGTATTTCTGTTTTCTTTAACTGACTTTATGGACCTTCAAATTCCCTAATTATTAACCTACTGTTCAATCTATATTTTGGTGAAAATTGACAAAACCATTTGAAACCAATTGTTGATACAGCTTAAGGAGCTGGAGTTGGAAGAAATCCTTTGTCCTCAACAGGAAAGGAGTGGGAGACAATCCACATAACAAGAAAGACGGACATTGATTTTATCATAGTTTTTGGGAAAAAAATCAGAATAGATTGTGCTTGATTATAGGAAGAATCAGCAATGCCAATGAACTTGCATAGCATCTTATGATAGTGGATCTTTTCACAGCAAGGTTAATGGAAGCTGGAAATACAGCTTTAAAGAATACGTAGGAAACATGCTTAAAGTATTCTTTTTATGAGTGAAATAATAATATCATGTTGACTGACTGGAAGGTGTATCAAAAATATAGTTGCATAAAAAAATTATGAGGTCATGAAGATATGTTGATATGATTAAGTTTTTAGAGAAACTTATAATACCTGATGTTGTTGCAAGCAGTTACAAACAATTATGATCCTCCAAGATACTATCCATCGCCTTTCAAAGCTATGGTTCTAGATTTAGGTCAGCCCGCAGCTCCAGCAGAATAGGTGAGGGCATGCAAATAAGTTGAAGTAGGAAAAAAAAAGAAGCAGGATAGCGATAAAAATATGCCAGTATGGATTCCTATAATGTGCTGGAAACTGCTCCTCCCTTCTGAGAGAGGAATTCAGTCCAAGTACACATGGTGTTTTACTTGTATGCATTACCAGAGTATGATTTGGTTATATCCATACTGAAAACATATAGGAAATTATTCATAGAAAAGAGAAGAAACTTTCCATTTTTTCAACAAAATTTTTGTCAATGTAGGAAGCTTGGCAAAAAATTTCACCTAGGTTGACATGGCCTAGTTTCAGAGGTTTATCTACTGAAAACCAGTGGTTCCTCGTTTTATCTGCTTCTCTAACTATGTTCTGTTGCGCTAATTACATTTGGTTTCATGTCGTATACATCCTTTGAGTTAGTGATTTGTATAATTTCTTCCATTTCTTAATTTGCACTTGCTGGCTGGAATCTTGTCCTTTTATATTGAAATAGAATGGATCTGAATCTGATACTTCTCTTTCTCACTTATATCTCTTGGCGTTGAAATGAGGAAAATACAAAGTTAAATCACATGATTTGTTTATTATGAATCTCACTATATGTAAGAGAACATGACTTGGACAAGCACGATAAATAATAAAGGTTGATAACTCTGACGTACATGTTACATACTTCCTTGTCTGTTGTTTGTTGTACACGGTTTCTTTTACCACGCCTACTCTCCATAAATGGCCGCTTTCCAACAACAATATCCATAAGCAAGTGCCTTAGTTTAACACCGTGATTGCGGCCTTCTCTTGTTAGTTTCTGCAAGTATTCCCAAGGGCTCTCAACTTTGTCCCCATTGACAAAGTTGTAGAAACACGTTCCACAACTAAGAAGTGATGATCATTGATGATCTTGTACTTAAATTGAACAGAATCTGAAGTTGAAAGTACACTCTGACTCTGTTGTTTAAGACATCATAGGGAAAGTTGTTTCCATGAGAATGGGTTTTGAAGATTTCAAAGGGTTCTGCAAAAATCAGGATTACCCTTTAATTTAATCTTGCAGTAATTTTCTTCATGGAATCTAAACCTACTTGATCAGTGTGAAAGGCTGATTTGGGTTGTTTATCTGCTTTGACAGAGGGCAGCTGGTAAAAGGAATATAGAAATACACCATGAAAAAGACATATACAGAGAAAACTTCAAAAAAAAAACAAACAAACAAACCAAATTCAAGTTCACTTGTCTCGAACAAACCAGCCTAATATGGTGTACAAAAAGAACCCTAAAACGTACATCCTCAATAAAAGTAAAGCTTCCATATGCCTAAAATGTCTTTTGTTGTTTCTGTTTATAATTGGATCCTACTTGGTTGTGCTTTTGTCATCCTTGCCTGGCCATAAGGTTCATCATTATCAATCCTCTTATTGTTTCTGAAAGCAGCGCAGCCAATGACATAAAAGATCACTAGCAGGATAAGCACAACAATGTTGATCACTGAGACCTTCCTCCAGCTCTTCTTCAGGCTGCCAAGCACACTAGCCTTGCAGGAGTCACATTGGTAGCACAGCTGCTGTTGGTCATTGCTCCATCTTGAGCAGTCCAGGTCTGTTCCGACCAACCCTCCTCCCGGGGTCCATAGCGTCTCGTTGACATAGGTGTAGCCACAGTCTGTTGGGGGCTTGCAGCAACCAGACTACAAATAGCAAATCACAAAGTTTTGCTGTCATTAGTTACTTTAAAAAGATATGCCCTGCAAAATTCTAACTTGCAAGCTGCATATAGATAGCTTTCAGATACAAAATTTAAGAGATTATTTCTTTTCTATTTCATAATTTTAATCAGTAGAGATACCTTTTTCTGATACAAATTTGATAGCACTGGATTTCTTTGTTTCCACATTAGCAAGCTACCAAACCAAGTGGGTCCAATCAGTTGGAACCATTATGTGAACTTGATAAGCATGGTGTATTGGTGTCCATTCAATAAAAGATAACTACATTAACACTATTCCAACAACATTTAAAGCAACACAAATGAACGACCATCCCACCAAACTCTGCCAAAAGAGATGAAAACCCCTCTCAGAGCTTTATTTGATTTATATTATCTTTCAATCTTATTTGACTTCAATAAGCATTTATTAAGGTTTTATGGGCAACCACTCATCATTTCCCCTCTCTCATTCTGCACCTCTGCTCCTTATGATTTACTCTTTTCAATAAATAAATAAATAACTGAACATAGTGAAGAGTATTATGCCAAAAATAGGATATGCTTCTTTTATTGAAACCCCTTCCCCACCCTATAGAAAACACAAGAAATCCACAAAAACAGATGCAAGCATGTGAACAATTAAAGAATATTGCAGCGGGAATCATTCCATAACCTTTGGTACCACTTGTCTTGGTGATTACATCAACTAAAGTATTCAGCTTAGGATATGGGTTTCAGGTTGGCACCCAATGCAATAAAAAGGAGGAGAAGATACCATAACTTTTGTAAGATAAAATCATAGAATTCCATCTTTCTGTATTTTGGTAGCTCTTAATAATTAACCCAGGAAGCAGACAAAAAATGAAAAAGCAAAAAGAAATTGATGAACCAACCAACCAACAGGCAATCAAACACATGGATAAAGCACAAAAACTACCCCCAAAAGAGAACATTCTATCTTAATTATTTGGCACCTAGGGTGAAAAGAGAACACAGACAACCCTGTTACTTTATTGGTAGTAAGAAAGTATACTAATCCTGTAATACCTTTGTTTAATATTTTAGGTAGATTTATTACTAAATCAAATGTTGGGATCATTTGTTTCAAAATATTTTCAAAATTGCCAAACTAAAAATAAGATTCCACCTATTGTTGAGACATAATTATGGGGTTTAGCACCATGCCCAACAGAGCCACCGTCCATTGTGGTCCAGTCAATTTTATATCATTATCAAAAATAGGGGGAATAAAGCAGTACTGTTTGTTAGAATAACTGTGGAAATATTAAAATATTGAGAATCTGATTATTCATTTTATTCATAAAAAAATACTACGTATTTATAAATTTATTGTTTATTGTTTGTATGCATATGCCCTTCACATAACGTTAAAACATAATCCTAATATTAGTCGGAAAATAAAGATTTGGCAAATTTTTCTGTGGGCAGCCAATGAACCGCAGTCGACGGGGGCCTGAATTGAGCTGGCAAGTCAAATGAACAGCTTGGTCTCCCACTTGCCTTAGCTTAATTCTACTAACAAATATGAAAACTTACGGGTTAAAGTAGATCTACTTTTGATCAAACTACTCATCATCAGGAAAACTATCTCCTTTTCTTCAATTCTTCATGTACTTTTTTCAAATCCATTCTTAGAAAGTAAACACGAAAAGTTCCTCCAAGATCATTTTGCTTAACCTTTTATCATAAAACTCAGTAATACCCCTTTTTGCTAGTAACACTAAACACTTCATTTTTCAATAAAAATTTAAATGAAATTCGGATCATATCACTCGGAAATTTGTAAAAGGTTTCATATCCTATTTGGGAGAAAATAATTAAGAAAGATGAGCAAAAAAAGGGGGAAGAGGGGGGAAAAGAGACTTGTTTGATGCTATTAGCTAGATTAGATATAACTAATAAATAGCAAAAATGTAAAAGAAGTTAGAAAGAACTACATACCTCAATAGGGCTAAGCTTCCTCATGGAAAACATGTCATAAGTTTCAGGAACACCATTAAAATTTCTTCCCATCTTGCTACAAACTTTAGAATCCCTTATGCAAGAGCTGATCTTAGCCCAATACTTCTCATCAACTACTCGGTCTTTGAGCCAACCCGAGTAGTCCTGCAAGTAATACTCCAAATAACCTTTGTTCATCACCGGTCGCCCTGACCCTTTGTCGGTCACGGCGTAAGCAAAGATGATGAACCCGATGAGCGCCCCGATGATGAAGAACATAACAAAGAGGTAAAGCCACATCAGGAACGTGTTTCTGTAACACGCGCCGGCGAAACCTGCTAAGGACACGACCATGATTGAGGCTCCTATGACTATCAATGGCCACTGCAAGAACTTGAGACAGTCTGTGCTGTTGGCTCTGCTGCTTAGCCATATTCCACCACCCAAGATTACTATTGACAACAAAAAAGTTAAGAAGTTTAATAACCCTATCAAATGGTTGCTGGCTCTCATTTTTCTGGGCTTTTGTTTTTGTTCTTCCTTTTGGTCTCTCTGTAAGTGTAATCTGTTTGAAACCTTTCAAGTTTTTTTCTTTTGCTGCTGAGTTGTATTCTCTACTGAGAGAAGCTGCTTACGAGTTAAGGTAATGATATGGATTTGTTGTTAGATGCAGGTGGTTTTATTACATAGGATGGGAAGGTTCATGGATATGTTAAGGAAGGTACTCGCTTTGGGTTTTTGACACGTGTATTTATATTTTGAAATGACAAGAACACCCTCAAATTGCATTATTGCATTTTCTTTAATTGCATTATTGCATTTTCTTTAGTTTCAAGATATACAAAATATTGTTTGCTTGACTTTAGAGCCGCTAGCTTGTTGTATAGCTTGAGTGCAGCTACTGATTGCTTATAATATTACAGTTTGAGACTTACTAGGAAATTGCTTGAAGAATGATGAGAAGTTACCACGCCCATGTGAGCTCTAGATCACGAAAAGCAATACTAACTAGCAACTAGTCTTTTATGTGTAGCAAGTATTTGCAAACATTGTTTTCAATGACACAAGTGTTCAGGCACTTTCTCTTGATATATGCAACCTGTTGCCTTTTTCAACTCCCTGCCATCACCCCAAGCATTGTCAAGGTTCATGCTTCGGCCAAGGCTTATGCAATAATGCTTTCTTTTCTCTAGGAAGGTTTCTTTTCTGTTATAAGAGCAATGATTAAAGTCTACATAATTACAAATGGAAAGTCATCATTAACATTTAAAAAAATTATCTTAACTTTTAGTTTCTAACATATTTCAAAGAATTATCATCGAATTAAAATTCGAGATTTAATTGTGTAATTCAAGACCAAACGAATCCGAGTAGTTTTGAAGCTTTTGAATCTTGAGTTCAAGTCTCATATATGCGAGATCAATCCAATTTTATGTTAGTTTATTTAGTTTGTTTGTTTATTTATTAATTTTTTTCATAAATATAATACGTACATTATGAAAATTATTTGATTGTAATTGAAATTTTTATTTGTACTAATTGTAATCTCATAAAAAGAAAACCAAACAAATTTCTATATGTTTTAAATAAAATTAACCACTATATAAAAGGTTATATAATATTTTATTAAATAATTATTAATACTGTATATTCCCACTCACCTAACTTCCATGATTTATATATCTATGCTCGTCTTAAGCTATTGTATTAACGTAAGATGTTATGACCTTGACTGATATTACTAATTCTTTAATTATACATCAAATTGACATCTTAATTAATCGGTATGCATGATATGGATGGATAAATTGCTGTATTCAATGATTGATTTGTGAAAAGAAAATTACGCACCAATATATTATGTTGGAATATTTTAATAAAAGAAAGAAAAAGAAAACGTATTCATTTATGTAGTAATTATGAGAATTTATTCTAAACATTTAAATTATTCATTCTTGTAAATTGTTTTCTAAATTTGTTTTTAATTTTGAATTACAAAGTAAACTTCGTGTTTGAGTTAACTTTGTAAATCTTCCAAACTAATTTTACTATAACAATTAGTTAATTTATTTTCATTTAAGATAATCCATTTTCCAAAGCAACACCTTTCTCTATATGTTGTTCCTTTATTACTTATTTTTTCTTTAGAAAATCTTCTTAAATTTTTGTTTAAAAGTTCTAATTTATTGAGTGAAAAATGTGTCAGTTTTGGTAGAGTTCGTGCCTTCTAATTTGAGCATGTTAGCAAGGTGAGTAGTGGTTTGACTGGGCTTGTTGTATCGTGGGGTACGACGCGCATTGCAAGGTGTCAATTGGATTATATTTAATTGATCCTCTAATCCTTCATAAAGCATTCATAAATCCATCAAAAATTCTATCAAAAATTAATTATCCCAAAAAAATAAAATATTTCAAATTAATATTCGGTCAAAAATTAGTAAGTGAAGTCAATTTCCAATGAAAGTCTGAAATTTTAATATGCATGATAGCTGTTTATGAAGTATATTTTTTGGGTCAAATATCTTATTAGAACTATATACATACAAATTAAAATGGGTCCATTCGGCCAGGATGAAGCAAAGATAATGCAAATGGCAGAGAAAATTTGAATAAAAGATAATTAGATTTTTTTTTTTTTTAGTCTTGCCCGAACTAAGCCGGAATTGGAGGGATCAATTGATTACAGGCTTTAAAATTTTGTCTTGTTGTCTCTGTCTGTCATGGCTGGAAATATAATTGGTAAAAAATGGATTTCTTTTTTAATTTGACTCTTTGCGAATATGTTAGATATATCAAATGATTTGTTAATTCAATGAATTAAAGAAAAGAAAGGGATTGGAAAAACGAAGGCCAACTGATGGCAAGCCCTACTCTATCCATGCGTCGTGGACCTCATTTCCCGCTTCCCATCCAGCCACGAAGCATCACAAACAGTTTATCTGCTCTTTTTTTATCTTGTTTGGAAGAAGAAAAATAATATAATATTTAAAAAAATTATAAATTATTTAATAAAATTTAAATAATTTTTTATTATGTATAATTAAGTTTTAATATTTTTATTTTAAATTAATTAAAATTTTATGATAAATAATTGATTAATTATTGTTAGTCAAAATAACCATTGTTATTCAATATCATGTAATACTGACATGACATGTTAATATATTATAATGAATGATGATAATACATATTGATGTGACCTAATAATATAATTACATGATTTTTTTTTTCATATCAATGTCAGATGCATATAACAATAACAAATAATATTTTAATTAATAACAATTAATAAATCATTAATTATAAAAATTTATTTAACTAAAAAATATAAAAATTTAATTAAATGTAATAAAAAATTATTTAAATTTTTAAAATAATTAAAAATTTGAATATTATATTAACAAAAATGTATAATTCAGTATCTTTACTTAAATGGAATACCCAATTCTACAATTTTTTTAGAGAATGCCCAATTTTACACTTTGTTTAGAAAATATTTCATAAATAGTCCACAAAATTTTGTTTAAACATTACTACTTAAATCTAAAATTTTATTCAAATATGATCTTATATATACTTTTTATCGTACCTAGGTGAGAAACAAATACCTAAACATTTGACTTATTAATTAATGTATATTTTTTTTATTTAAAGAATAATATTCGAATTCTTTCCCAGATAAAAAAATTAGGAACAAGAACAGGTATGCACTGGCCACAAACGTGACTCTCTTAGCCTTCTAAGATGGTATGGGTCTTTTAATTACAAAGATATAACTTCAATATTCTAAACAATTCATCGTCTTTGCTCAACCTTATCGACACTAATAGTTAGACGTCTTTGAAATCCAATCTTTTTCTGATGTACAGGATCTATTAAAAATGGCAATTGTAAAGCATACTCAAGGATATGTGCTCAAGAGAGATTTGTACTTACATCTTCCTTGATAATTATTAGGAAGGAAGAGAGAGGTTTTGAAAGTCATGTTGGAAGAAACACTCGATTTTTATTACTCTAGGGTGTTTTGCCTTTTATTACAAGAGGTCCTTTCCTTTTATAAGCAAAGGAGTAGGAAACAATAAACTTTATACAGTTAAAAGATAAAGACGCACATTTTACACAATATACTGATCATAATGATAAAACTGACACTCTTAGCTGGTATACTTAAAGTAAAAGACAAGACAAAAGACATTTAGTACAAACTTCTTTAGTAAAGAAAAATTATTGGCCTTCTTTAATCATAGTTTGTGTCAGGGTCTGAAGTGAGTTTAAGTTCCACAATCTTTTGGTATTTTCTTTCCCTGCATATATACATCTGTAGAAAGAATGTCTCAAGGTTTGTGTCACAGTGTCCTTTGCATGTTTCACATGGTGGCTTTATAGAAAGTTAAGCAAGTTTGTCTTCATTTGTCTCTCTATATTCCTAAGGATCTTAAAGCCACTCATGGGGATCATTAGGGATGGTAATAGATACCCTATTAAAAAATATTTCATAAATAGGTCATAAAATTTTGTTTAAACATTACTACTTAAATCTAAAATTTTCTTCAAATATGATCTTATATATACTTTTTATCGTAACTGGGTGAGAAACAAGTATCTGAGCATTTAACTTATTAATTAATGTATAATTTTTTTATTTAAAGAATAAGATTTGGATTTTTTTCCCAAATAACAAAAAAATGAGGAACAAGAACAAGTATGCATTGACCACAAAACGTGGCTCTCCTGGCCTTCTAAGGTGGCACGAGTCTTCTAGTTATAAAGATATAACTTCAATATTGTAAACAACTCATCGTCTTTGCTCAACCTTATCAATACTAATAGTTAGATGTCTTTGAGATCCAATCCTTTTCTGATGCATAGGGTCCATTAAAACTAGCAAGTGTAGAGCATTCTCAAGGATATGTACTCATGAAAGATCTATAGTTACATCTTCCTTGATAATTATTAGGAAGGGGGAAAGAGGTTTAGAAAGTCATGTTAGAAGAAACACTTGATTTTTATTACTTTAGGGTGTTTTGCCTTTCATTACAAAAGGTCATTTCCTTTTATAAGTAAAGGAGTAGAAAACAACAAACCTTATACAGTTAAAAGATAAAAACACATGTTTTACACAATACACTGATCATAGTGATAAAACTGACACTCTTAGTTGGCCTTCTTAAAGTAGAAGATAAGATAAAAGACATTTAGTACAAACTTCTTTAGTAAAGGAAAATTATTGACCTTTTTTAATCATAGGCTGTGTCAAGGTCTGAAGTGAGGTTAAGTTCCACAATCTTTTGTTATTTTTTTTCTTACATATGTACGTGTAAAAAGAGTGCCTCTGGTCTGTATCACAGTGTCCTTCACATGTTTCACATGGTGGCTTTATAGAAAGTTATGCAAGTTTATTTTCATTTGTCTCGTCATATTCCCAAAGGTCTTAGGACCACTCATGAGGATCAGTCTAAGGATAGCAATGGATACCCTATTAGAAAATATTTTATAAATAGGCCACAAAATTTTGTTTAAACATTATTACTTAAATCTAAAATTTTATCCAAATATGATCTTATATATTCCTTTTATCGTAACTGGGTGAGAAACAAGTATCTGAGTATTTGATTTATTAATTAATATATAATTTTTTTATTTAAAGAATAAGATT